GGAGGAGGGGCTGCGGGCCTATGGTGGTAGGGTGGGCAGAGCAGCGGGAGGTTGGTCGGCAAGCCCCATGCCCTGATCAAGCAGGTTTGCTGGCCACAGTGGGAGTCATAGTGACCGGTCATATTGGTCGTTCCAGCATTATGGTCACTGGCTTTTTAGATAGATGTTCTCTTATAGTTTGAGTCTTGGCTCTGAATTCTTTCCTAGCCAGGACTCAAGTACCAAGATTGTTGAACCCAGGTCTGGTCCAAACCACCAGTCCAGACACCTGATGCAGTTCTCTAAACTACAGTCCTAATTTTATTATTATTATTCTATTTTTTCTTTTTTTTCCTGAGCAAAGTACAAAAATTTTAAATGTGCAATGTGAGTTGAAATTTTCTGGAAAACAGAATAGACACTTTCCATCTGTGTGCTTTTTTCTTATTTATTTATTTATTTATTTATTTAGGTAAAATAACCCAAATTACATATTGTAATAGCATAACCTAAATTTTAGTGTTTTACCTATACAATTCAGTGGCATTAATTATTCACACTGTTGTACAACCATTAACATTATCAGTGATCATCTACACCCTACCTTGGCTCCAACTACCAATTAGTAGAGCCCACAACCCTAACTTCTTTATGTTAGGGGCAGAAATAATAATCATGCTCTGTTAACTGTGATTGTTAGGTATAGTTATGTGAACGAAAGGGGCCACAGGCTAACCTGACAAGCTCAAGGAAGGCCTGCATGGCGGTCTTGCAAACTCAGAGACCTAAAGTAACCACAAAGGACGGTTTGATATTAAACTCTAACTAAAAGCAGTTATGGTGGGTAGTGACGTCCTAGGCCAGTATCTTCCCTGACAAGGTCAACCTTTACCTTAACTGAGCCCATCTGTCTTTTTGCATCTATAATAACATACCCTTGAAATGTCTGGGTAACTTGTAACTTCCCTTTTTCTGGACCCCTTGGGGCACAACCTAATATGCCTGGGTGCCAGGACAGTTACCACAAATTCCTTCATTGTTATCTTAATTGTTCCTGCACCCACCTAAGTATGTGTATATCATTTTACTTCTTTATTTTATTTTATTTTATTTTTTGCCCAGGACTCCTTTATTTATTTTTATATCCATGAAGTTAGAGGCAAATAACTCTTAAATCTCTCTTATAGGTAGAATCTAAAATTTCTTTAGCATTTTGTTTAAAAAAAACAACAACTTTGTTCTTGTCCTTCAAGTCACCCATTTTCTTGTTTTAACTTTATCCAGTGAGTCCCCATCTATCTAAGAATGCAGTAATAAAATCTTTATAATTATTTAATAATCTGACAGAGTGCAAACAAATGATAAGGGTCATTTCCTTATGCTTAAATGCCATAATTCTTTTTGTATATATTTTATTTTATTTATTTATTTTTAATTTTTTTATTAAGTTATTACATATGTGTCCTTATCCTCCTACCCTCCCACAGTAACTTGGAAATAAGTGTGATATCTTTCTTGTAAAACTGGCAAGAGACTTTTAACGGGATTTACATCTCAAAAGGGTAGAGAAAAAATTTACTTTTGCATGTCTCCTAGAGTAAATGTTCTCAGTAAAGGATGTTCAGGGACCTAGAAGAAGGAAGTCTGTCTGATGTTTAGGCCATCTCAGGAGACCATCAAGGCCTTCATGGTTAGACTCATCCTAAGAGCATAAAGAAAATCCAGGCTCCCCTACACTCCCAACATGCCCTATAATATTTCAGGACATAGAGTGTATCTTGGGGCTTACCTCCCACTGAACCATCTGATACACCCACTTTGCCCTCCTCACATCACTCAAGCTGACCAACCTCTCATTTTGTTCCTCAGTGAGGTTGTGTTGCCTCATGCATCTCTGCTTTCTCCAAGGGACGCCTGATAGCGTAATATCAGCTTACACCCTAACTGATGGTTCATGGTAGATTAATGCTGATCTCCTGTAAGGATATCTGCTTAGGAGCTATGAACATTTAAGGATATAATATCCTACTTACTAGATAGACCCTCTAGAAATCAATGAAATTGGTACTTGTGAAATGTGGACAAGGCCGAGAATTTGAGTTGAAGGTAAGGCCAAGGTAAGCATCCCCTCCCCCTGCAATTCCAACACACTACTCTCATTCCTGCATTCTTAGATAACAGAGCATAGTGTTCCTTCAAAACCCCCTAAAGTGACTACAAATTGGTGCATCACCCCAGCCCTGCATGGGGGCAGTGGGAATGGAGAAGGCATGATGAAACTCTTGGAAGGTTTTCAGGCTTTTTTTCTTATGTATATTTTCTCTTATTGTCATCACCACACCTACTAGTTTCTCACACAAACTCATTTTTTTTAAAAAAAAGCATTCTTTTGAATAAGTACCAAAGAAGATATCAGAATATCTCCATATAGACTTAGGGTATAAAATGTCATCAATCAAATCATAATCACCCTGGTTCATAACACACGGTGAACTTACATTTCATCTCATTTGGCAATCCTCTGCCAAACTGTTTGCGATAACAAAATGAAGGACCCCCTTCCTCTCCCAATGTGGGATTCAGGACATATCACTGAAGAAACTGACAGGAAGGACACCTTTGGAAATTTCAATTTTGGGACCCTATTTCTATGTTCTTCCATTTTTGTGTGCTTTTCAGAAAGATCATGAGTCCCTATTCCAGTTTTGATAGTTATTTGTGAATATATGAATAAAATTCACGTTTGAGAGAAGTACAAATGTCAGTACATTCTAGAAAGTCTAAAGAGTCCCCAAAGAGATATCATGGAAAACGGCTTCTTATCAGGACTAAATGGGCCTCCAGCAGCGAAGGTCAGGACCATCTGTCTCTTCCTTACACATATTGTGTCCACACATTCTCAATCCAGGGCTAAGGTTGGAGTTACCGGCCATCTTATCCCCACTGGTAGGGCTTCAGAGTGATGAGCCCTAATGCTCACTAGAGCTTACAGCTTTCCCTGCACTGGGAAGAGAAGGCAGAAGGTATGAGTCCCATGGCTGTCACAGGCAGTGTGACCATCCTAGAGGTCTAACTCTGCAGGCCCTCTACCCTATAAGCCAGTGATGGTGAACCTATGACACGTGTGTCAGAGGTGACACGCAAACTCCTTTTTTTTGGTTGATTTTTCTTTGTTAAATGGCATTTAAATATATAACATAAATATCAAAAATATAAGTCTTTGTTTTACTATGGTTGCAAATATCAAAAAATTTCTATATGTGACACGGCACCAGAGTTAAGTTAGGGTTTTTCAAAATGCTGACACACTGAGCTCAAAAGGTTCGCCATCACTGGCCTATTATCATGGAAAAATTAACAACCTTGTTGCCAAAACAATAGCATCCCAGCCTGCATTGCCTATAACCCAGCGGTTCTCAACCTGTGGGTCCCGACCCCTTTGGGGGTCGAACGACCCTTTCACAGGGGTCGCCTAAGACCATCGGAAAACACATCTATTACATATTATTGTTTTTGTGATTAATCACTATGCTTTAATTATGTTCAATTTGTAACAATGAAAATACATCCTGCATATCAGATATTTACATTACGATTCATAACAGTAGCAAAATTACAGTTATGAAGTAGCAACAAAAATAATGTTATGGTTGGGGGTCACCACAACATGAGGAACTGTATTAAAGGGTCGCAGCATTAAGAAGGTTGAGAACCACTGCACTATAACCTCTGAGCCTCAGTTTCTTCGTCTGTAAAGTGGGAGGGGGTAGAGTAACAGTGTCTATCTGTGCCCAGTGCCTGAAACACCTGACTGCAGGAGGCAGCTGATTGATGTTTCTCTCTCATCAATGTTTCTAACTCTCTATTCCTCTTCCTTCCTCTCTGTAAAAAATCAATAAAATATATATTTTTAAAAAGATAGAGACTTTAAAGAACATTGACTGCTGTTAGGGTCGCTGAAGGAGGAACACACGAGTCCAAAGGGGTAAAGAATTATAAATGTATTATTACATCTGCTAGAAGGGCTGACACCAAGCTGGCGTCAGTGGGGCAGAGGAGAGGGAGCGGGATATTTATGTCTCTTGTAAGGGTTACTCTAACTGGTCAGACCAGGTGCAGGTGGGGCCAGGTGCAGGTGGCCCACTGGAAACTGGGTCGGTTCCCTGGAAGCCGAAGGCTGTTAATCATGAAACCTACAAAGAGAACAACAGGAAAATCGCCCCGAGGGGGCAAGAGCCCCCAGCAGGGCATAATGGAGCACAGGAATGTGCCTAAAAACTGCCAGCTGGAGATTTTCTTTCTTTCTTTTTTTTTAAAAAATATATTTTATTGATTTTTTACAGAGAGGAAGGGAGAGAGACAGAGAGCTAGAAACATCGATGAGAGAGAAACATCGACCAGCTGCCTCCT